TTGTTGCCCTGGCCAGTGTGGTTCAGCAGTTAGAGCATGGGCCCCAGTCAAGGGCACATTCCTGGGTTGCAGGTTTGATCCCCAGCCCCGTCCATGTTTTTCTGTCTCTCCTCCCGCTCTTCCCTCCCTCCCTTCAGCTCTAAGGATCAATGGAGAAAATATCCTCAGGTGATGGTTAAAAAAAAAAGGAGAAATGAAGTATGTTGTTTCTGGTAATACTTTTGGGGAAAAGACTATCAAACCCAACCCTCTTTACGAGACTGAATTTACACAGCATATGACCTTTTCTCTCACTGGAAGAGTCAAAGCCCAAATTCTATTTATTAAACCACTTACCTTCTGTAAGCCTTGCTTTTCCTCCTGTGGGCTGACAGAGAACAGTGGAGCAACCAACACACAAAACTACTGTTTGTGCATGGCTAAAGACGGTGGTGATTTTATAGCATCCTGGAAAAAAACATCAGGACGGGGTTATATTTTTTCCCATGCCTTTCTTCACTTACACATATACCAGGTATTAACCGTCAAGACATGCATGTTAGGTAAACTTTTGAAATTTATTATGCTACTGGCAACTTGATTACCTGGTACATTAAAGCCAACTCAGTAGCCATATGGACTACCTGCCCCCACCTATGCATTTTTAGTTAAAGTGTGACTACCATCCTAGAGTCTGAAAGGGAATGGAGTGGAACCAACAATTATTATAGGTCAAAAAATAGAGACTCCTCCACTTGGGAGGGAAGGATGGTCAGTAATGTGTCAAAGCACCCATCTCTGCCTCCTTGTACAAGTACACAAATGACACAGGTAGAAGCACAACACACCATCCCAGTTTCTCAACACAAGGAAATGTTAGGGTTGGTACATGGAGTTTTGATGTAAAGTCACTCTAGATCATTCCTCCTAAAGTACAAAATTTTACTGATCTCGTACACTCGAATTTAAGAAATTGGGTACAGCTCACACTACACCCTTTCCAATTCCTGGATCCAGTGCTTTTCCGACAAGCTACCTCCTCACCTGGGCATTTCACATCCATGAAGTAGGAATTGGGGCTCTGCACCAGGCGCTTCTTCTTGTGTTTCCTCTTCTCCTCTTCCGGAGAGGGATGAAGGAGATCCTTAGCGAGCTGAGAGAGGCACAAACGTAGAAATTTAGAAACCAACTGCGAGAATGGAATGCTTGAAAACAGCCCCCACTGCCACACACCAGGGAGAGCTCGCCCCTCGCCGCCCCTGGTGTCTGCGCAGCTGGGCCGCCATCTTATCTCCTCTCCGCTCCCGTCTATGCAGGGGGCCCCGCGGGCCTCCGCGGTCCCTGTCGTTAATGTCCTAGGAAATGCGGAGGGAAAACGAAGGCCCTCTGCGATCCAAAATCAGCGGGAGGGGAGCGTGCGGACACAAGAGCGAGATCTCCGCGGAAACCTGCACCAAGGGACTCACAGGCATATTGTCGTGGGGAGGTCGTCACCGCCGGAAAGGAGCGAAAGCGGAAATCCTGCTCCTTATATCCGTCATCCTGCAGGAAGTGACGCCAGGGAGTTTTGCCGCCATGTTGGACAGGTCCCTCTCTCACCATTGTCCGCGGTGGGGCGAGTAGGGGGCTGCCATTTTCAGAAGGTCTGTAAATGACAGTCGCTGAACCGATGTGTCTCCATGTTGAGAGAGTTAACTTGCTTTATGTAAAGGTGAGCGTTTTGCCCTGGCCGGTGTGGCTCAGTTGGTTGACTGTCGTGGCCTGTACCAAAAGGTCGCCAGTTGGATTCCTGGGGAGGCACATGCCTGGGTTGAGGGCTCAGGTCCCCAGTAAGGGGCCTGCAAGAGGCAGCCAATAGATGCTTCTTACATCCATTCTTTCTCTCCCTCTCCCTTCCTCTCTCTCTCTCTTAAAAAATCAATTAAAAAAAAATTTAAAAAAACTTCTTAAAAGGTGAGTTTGATCTGTATCAAGGGATAAATGGACACTTAAAATTTTGTGCTATGTTTTGACACCTAGAGCCCAATAAATAGGAACTTCTGAGGAAAAAAACCAGACCAAGCCATGTCTGGACTGCTTAAGTTTCTTTATTATTTTTCAGCTGGCTTAGTTTGCCCACTTTAAACAATTCAGAAACGTAAATATAAAAAAAGTAAAGCCCTTGTCCAGCTGGTGTGGTGCAGTGGTTGAGCATGGACCCATGAACCAGGAGATCACGGTTGGATTCCCAGTCAGGGCACATGCCCAGGTTGCAGGTTTGATGCCCAGTTCAGGGGGATGCAGGAGGCAGCCGATCCATGATGTTTCTCTCGCAGGATCGATGTTTTTCATCAATGTTTCTACCTCTCTTTCCCTCTCCTTTCCTAGCTCTCTTAAAAAAAAACAAAACTTAAGTTCTCCTATTTCCCCTATCCCCAACCTACTCCTAGGGTTGTTAATTTTATTGTCAACTTCCAATCCTTCCTTCTAATAATAATTACATCAAACACATAGTGCTTACTAGGTGCACTGTTCTGACTGCTTTACATGTTAATCTTCACAACTCTTATCAGGTTGATAATATTATTATCCACATTTTACAGATTAGGAAGGTGATGCACAGAGAAATTGTTCAAAGTACTACTACACTGCCTTCCAAAAAGCTTGTGCCAATTTGCATGCCCACATCCTTTCCCCCACATTTTCACCAGCAATGCCTTTCCAAGATTTCTAATCTTGGCATCACTGACACCCAAGACAGGAAAGAAGAAGAAAGGAAAAATTATGACTTGAAACATCTTCTCATGTTCATTTGTCATAAGGGAGGAAGGAAGATGACACAAGTGGCATTTAGGGATCTGGTTCATTCCAAAAGAAAGGGATATAGCAAGGCATGTGAGTTTTAGTCAGGGAGGTGCTGGTAAAAGTTTAACAACCGGTTCTGTGGAGGAGAGCCCTGATTTGTTGTCTCTGCTAATTTCAGTGGTGACATCATTAAACATTAAACAGGAGTTGAATAAGAACTGTATGTCAACTGTAATTGGAAAAAAAAATTTTTAAGTTATTTAAAAAATAAAAAAGAGCCCGACCAGTGTGGCTCAGCAGTTGAGCATCAACCTATGATCCAGAAGATTACAGTTTGATTCCCAGTCAGGGTACATGCCCAGGTTGTGGGCTTGATCTCCAGTAGGGGTTGTGCAGGAGGCAGCTGATCAGTGACTTTTTCATTGATGTTTCTTTCTCTCTCCCTCTCCCTTCTCTCTGAAATCAATAGAGATATATTTAAACAGAAAGAAAAAGAATTCCAGCACATTACTGATGGGCTGGTAAAACCTCTAAGGAAGCTGAAATCTCAAGGAGTCAACCATGGAACAATCTAGGAAGAAAGCATTCTAGGCTGAGAAAAGAGTTTGTGGATACAAAACCCAAGGCCAGAATGAGCCTGCCACAAGTGAAGGGGGGGAAAGGTATTGTTACCAAAGCTCTGAGAGCTAGGGGGAGAGTACTACTATACTACAGAGACGAGGTTCCAATGAAAGCAGGTATACAACAGCATAAGTATATTTTGGAAAGGTGAGCAAGAATAATAAATTTTGGGGGATGAACAGTCCAGATCAAGGCAAAATAAGATGAAAAGAAAAGGAACGGATGGATTTTTATCAGAACAATCCATGAAAATTGAAGGACTGGTGAGAGATGGTTTGGCCTGTGAGGAGAAAGAAAGAAGATTCAAGGTTTGTGATACAGCGGGAGGTGAGAGAATGGACAGAAAGGGAACTGAATAGTAGTGTTTGAGAAGGGACAAACAAGAACACAGAAGGTGACCAAGATAAATGAAATGACATAAGATGCCTTCTCACAACCAGTACACTATGTTTATACAAGGACAATTCTACCAACCCACAGTTAGAAAAGTAGATATTCTGCATAATTTTTGTCCAAAGGCAAAGATAAACTTGTTTCTTTATAGCCATGTTCTCCATACCTCAGCTTCCTGATTGCCAAGGCTACACATTCACAGCACCTTCCGTGGGGTATCTGCTTGAGGGCTGTGTTAAAAGATCTCGCCCTGGCTGGTTCTGTGCCTCGTGCCTCGGTTGCAGGCTTGATGTCTGGGCGCATGTGAGAGGCAACCTGTTGATATGTCTCTCTCATATCGATGTTTCTCTCTCTCTCCATTCCACTATCTCTGAAAAGCAATGGGAAAAAATATCCTCAGGTGTGGATTAAACGAATCCATTACTCATCTGAAGAAAGAAACCAGACATTTGTTTTCCCAATCTCTGTCTTTTTGAGCTGGCTTATCAGAGAAATCACAGAGAGTCCTAGAAAGAAGACCGTTCCAACTGAAGCCCCAGAATATTGAGAAGCTGAGAGACAGAGAGAGGGGCTGGGGAGGGGAGGACAGGACAGGACAGGACAGGACAGGACAGGACAGGACAGGACAGGACAGGACAGGACGGCGGAGTTGATTCTATGGTATAATTAATGTTAATTTTCACTCTGTTCCACCAGGGGGCAGACTGACTCAACAAATAACCTACTCCAGGGTAATCCCGCTTTTTTCAAAAGGAATTGCGATTCTAGAACTAAGAGCTTGTAACAATAACACCAGAATTCTGAAACTGCCCGAGAAGGATTCTGTCTTCCTTGAATAGCGTTTCTAAAAATACGCCTCCAATTTTGGTCAGCTCCTAGTGCCATCTCTGCCTCCACCTTTATTCCCCAAAACTTTCTCCCAATGCCTCTAAAATTCCTCTTTCCCCTGGTCACTCCGGTTAAACGTCTACTTCCCTTCACCCCAGCCTCTCTGGCCTCAGGCTGGAAGAATGCGGTCAAAAGATGAAGAGGAGAGCGATGATAAGCTCTGGGAATTAGGAGGGAGACCGCCGGCCTAGGCTGGCTAGGGAGCGCCGGGAGCGCGGGAGGCTGGGGCAGGTCTCTGACCATCCGAAAGGGGGGGCGTGCAGGGGGTGGGGCCCAGAGGAGCGCCGCCTCTCTTTCCCGAGCCTGGGCGGAGAGGGAGGAAAACTTCCTGGCTCGGGCTACCGGCAGCTCTGTCTCCCAGCCCTCCAATCCTGCCTGCCACTGCCCAGCGCTTCCCTCCCCCTCCCCCTGCTCCCTCAGTGTCCGCCATGGCCAAAGCCTATGACCACCTCTTCAAGTTGCTGCTGATCGGGGACTCGGGGGTGGGCAAGACTTGTCTGATCATTCGCTTTGCAGAGGACAACTTCAACAACACTTACATCTCCACCATCGGTGAGCCCACTGGCCATATCCCAGGCCCCCGACTCCCCATACCCTCATCCCCAGGTTCCCAGGTTCCCAGTGGCCCCACCTTTCAGTCCCCTAGAGTGAGGCTTCTAGACTCCAGTTAACTCCACCTCTGTTTCAGACCCATACCCCCCCTACATGTCTCTGGTGGTACCCAAAATTCTAACCTCTGGGCAGCCTCCAGGTGACTCCTCCATTGTGCCAGCCCCTCATTTTCTTGGTACCATTCTTCTCCTCTCCCCAGATCCACATGAACCCTTCTGTTTCCTGACTCTCAGCTCCTCTTCACCCACCCCCATCCACCTAGAACTCTTGACCCACTCTCCACATTTCCTATATTCCCTCTCCCTGAATATCTGTCTTCCAACTCTGCTAGCCTCTTTCTGTCCCACTGAGTTTCAGACTCTCCATTGCATCCCCACCTTATCATCTACTTCTCAGTTTTCTTGCTCCTTAATAGGGAGGTGGGGAGGGTGAAACAGAGTGGCTAAAGGGTGGCCCAAGGACTGTGATCCTGAATATGCAGTCAGCCTGGTGAAGAAGGTGGGAATGAGGGGACTTTTGGGGTCTCTGAATCAGCCTGGTGACTCAGCCTCCTCCCCAGTGTTCGCAACAGGCTTGGGGGAGGTGCCCAAGTTTCCACTAAGAACAGTGTTTCCCCTCCTCCCCTCTCATCTTTCTTCATCTACTCTGCTCTGGGAAATAAGACAAGGAGAACCTCAAGACAATTCTGGTTAGAAAGGGGAGGGGAAAATGCCCCTTTTTCCTAGTTCAGTCTCAGGAGGAATCTTGTTTTGTCTCAAACTTTCTTGGTTCCACGCCTGGCCTACTAGTTAATTCACATAGACTGGCATCAGCTACCTTTTCCCTCGCTCTTTATCCTATAGGACGGGTAGGGTGGGGGGAGGGGCACGGAGTGTAGAAGGTTCCAGGAAAACAGGCCGGAAAAGGAATCTGAAAGTAATATTTGGGGGGAGACAGACTAAATTGAGAGAGTTGTCAGCTGGCATGGCTGAGTGGACCCAAGAGATGCCCGATGGCCTTAAGCCTTCTTGCAGAATTTTTATCACCTTTTCCACCACAAAATTCACAAAAATCTAAGTAAGAACAACATGCTTGCTATACAAATACAGTTCTGAGGAAATTGTCCTAGTTGTACACTTCTGACAAGGCTGCTTCCCATGTGCCTCCCCCGCAGCCTTTCCGGTACTGCCCCTCCTCCGTCCCTGTCTCTCCCCCAGCACACTTACATGCACACACCTATGTGTCTCAGCTTCAATGTACTGTCCACTCCTAGGGATTGATTTCAAGATCCGCACTGTGGATGTAGAGGGCAAGAAGATCAAACTGCAAGTCTGGTGAGTGAATGCCCTGGGACTGCTAACAGGACCTCTTCATATACGCTTATTACCCTTTTTCTTCTGTTTTGCTTTATTTCTCTCCTTTTCCCCATTGCTCCTTCCAGCACGTCTGATCATTTATGTCACCTCACTCAGGTGTCCTTCCATCTCTCTTCCTGCTTGCTCAACTATTTTCAGCTTTTTTGTAACTCTCTTGCCTCTTCCGGCTCTGGAGCATTCTCTGAGCTTGACAACAAATGTCTGTTGAGCTATAAGCGTTTAAACAGCAAGTAGCAGAATTAAGATCTGACTCTAAGCCCTGGACAGGTAGCTCAGTTGCTTAGAGTGTCAACTCGATGCACCAAGGTTGCTGGTTTGATCCCTGGTCAAGGCACATACAAGAAGCAACCGATGAGTGCATAAAAAAGTGGAACAAAGCAACATTTCTCTTTCTGTCCCTTCCTCCCTCTCTAAAATCAATGAATAAAAAAAATTATTAAAAACAAACAAACAAACAAAAGATCTAACTCTAAGTCTAGTGCTTTCTAAATTATGGAGAGCCTGAAAAGCCTAGTATAGATGTGTGACCCGACTGTCATAAGGAAGCTGGAGACCCTGAGGGTACGAGGCTTAATGGCAGTATTATAATACAATAGATAAGAGCAAACTGGTTCAAATTCTGGTTCTGTTACAGAATGACCTTCATTAGTTATTTAGTCTCCCCAAATCTATTACTTCATTTGTAAAATAGGGACAGTAAAACTTGTCTCACTAGAATAGAATGCAGATTAGACAAAATGACATGCATATAAAATTATACCTACGTATTGTTTGGCACAGATGAAGCATCCAGTGAATAAGCCAGAGATCTTGTTTCCTAGACCTCTACCGTCTCTCAATACCAGCCCAACTGTCTTTCATCCCTCTCCCCTTTCATTGTTTTTGGATTCTGTTCCTTTCAGCTCCATCATGTGAAAGCTAAATTCTTAGCTGGTGGGGGATGGGGGGTCTCTCTTTGGAGAGCCCTTCCCTCTATCCTACCCCATGAAATATTCTACCTCCTCAGGGACACAGCTGGCCAAGAGCGATTCAAGACAATAACTACTGCCTATTACCGCGGAGCCATGGTACAAAGTGTGGGTCTGGACAAGGGCTGAGGGCATGAGGCAATGAAATGTAGGTTTATGAGTACAGAGAGGCAGGGGAAAATGGGGGGTGGCACCAGTGGGTTGCAGAGGGTCCCGCATGGCTTAGGGATTTGACTCATGGATAAAACTTGTAGGGTCACTTACGAGTGCAATGGGAAGCCTAAACAGGGGCGTATGGTCCAAGCCTCCACTGTGAACTCTGCCATCTCCCAGGGCATTATTCTAGTGTATGACATCACAGATGAGAAGTCCTTTGAGAATATTCAGAACTGGATGAAGAGCATCAAAGAGGTGAGGACGCTCCCAGAGAGATGGCGGAATTGGGCAGGACCTGAGGACGAAGGGGATTCTGAAGACGAGCAGGACCCAACTTTTCTTGTCTTACCCTTTTGTTTCCAGAATGCCTCGGCTGGGGTGGAGCGCCTCCTGCTGGGGAACAAGTGTGACATGGAGGCCAAGAGGAAGGTACAGAAGGAGCAGGCCGATAAGGTAAGGGCCAGGTTGGGCAATGTTCTAAAACTGGGCTGGGAGGGCCAAGGTGAGGTCAGATGGCAAAGGGCAGGATTTGGCTGCTGCCCTTTATCCAACTCTCTTATTCCCACTTCATCCCCTACAGTTGGCTCGGGAACACGGAATCCGATTTTTCGAGACGAGTGCCAAATCCAGTATGAATGTGGATGAGGTGAGACACACCCCATCACCACCACCCAAAGAGATGGAGTACTGGATGATAGACTTACCTTTTCCCCAGTCTGTACTGACCAATCTCCTTTCCCTGTTAGGCTTTCAGTTCCCTGGCCCGGGACATCTTGCTCAAGTCAGGAGGCCGGAGATCGGTGAGCTGGTTCTGCTGGGCTAAGTACAACTGGGGAGGGGGAAGTAAAAACTGAGGAGGGGAGCAGTGCTAAGACTTCCCTTGAAGGTGGGTCCCCTTCAAACAGCTTATAACCTCAGACCTCAGCCAGCCATTCTCATCCTGACCCCCGTGCCTTTCTGCCTCTAGGGGAACAGCAGCAAGTCCTCCAGCACTGACCTGAAAACTTGTGACAGAAAGAACACCAACAAGTGCTCCCTGGGCTGAGGACCCTTTCTGCCTCCCCACCCTAAGCCTGGAGGTTGAACCTGAGGGAAGCAGGGCTGAGGGACTAGATGGGGGAGAGATAGCAGGTGGGGCTTGGAGGAGTAAAGATGGGTAGATGGTGAAAGAATGGGGAGGAAATGGAGAAGAAGAAAAGGAAAGAGAGGAAACAGGAAGAGAAAGAAAGGAGGTTGGATAGAGAGGGAAGAAGCAAGAAAGGGAAGAATTGAGGAAGTGAAAAAAGGTGAGAAAGAGGGAGGAGAAAGGAAGGCTAGATGGCTCTGGGCCTCAGACCTTCCCTGGGTTTCCAGGGCAAATATAAATGTAAATAAATAATTGATTTATTTTGTTACTGGATCAGGCTTTTAGGGTTCTGTGAGAGGCTGGCTCAACACCACCCCCTGAAAGTTTGGCCATATCCTGTCACTCTGCATGGTCTTTGTCAGTATTAAAGACCTCCATTTGCACAAATGTCCCTAGTTTGGGTAACTTTCATCATTGTTGGAATTGCTCTCTAGTCATAAACCAAATTCCTACCCCTGAAGTGTTTGGGCTGCCTGAATCTGGCTGGGTTCCTGTGATGCCAGGAGTAGTCCTACAGCTTTCTCCCTTCCCCAGCTGTTTAACTGATGAGGAAAACAGCAAGGAGCAGAGGTTCTCTGAACTTAAAGATGTGGACATACTCTTTCCATTATGGGTTTAGAGGATCACTGTGGGCAGAGCCTTCTCCAGGAGACAGCAGGACTTTTTTTTTTTAAGAAGGACTCTTTTTGAACCTCCCCAGGAGAGTGACAGCTCCTCCTCAGGGAAATAACAGGATCTAGTATTGTTACCCAGGCAAACATCTTTGATTCTGTTAGCAATCCCTGTAGGAATCTGGTAGGCATTATTATTTGCTTTTATAGATGAGGAAAATGAGACGCAAAAGAGTTTCACTTATTCATAAATATTTATTGAGCATCTACTACATGCCAAGCACAGCAGTCAACCTTTGGGTGGTACTTGCAAGGTGGACAAGCAAATTTTAAAAGAAGCAGCATACAAAGAGGCAAACTACTACATACAAAGAGGCAAAAGTATTGGCGTGCAAAAAGAGCCACCGCACGCCTTGGCTGGGTGGGTAGCGCAGTTGGTTGGGGCGTCGGATGCACCAAGGTTGCGGATTTGATCCCCAGTCAGGGTACATACAAGAATCAACCAAGGAACGCGTAAGTGGAGCAGTAACTGGAGAGCAATGTCTCCCTTCCTCTCCCTTTCTAAAATCAACAAATAAAAAAAAAATTTTTTAAAGTGTGACAGAAATGTGAGGCAATATAATTAGAGGAGGGTAAATATTTACACGTTTCATTTGCATCTCGACAAAAAACACAAAAACAGAAAATGCAGGTTAGCAATTCCATTTAACACAGAACACTTGAGAGCCAGATACCATCCTAAAGCCATATAATAAGCGCCTGAACCTGGCTAGACTGAACAGTTGTTAGAACTTCAAATCTCGTGCTCCTCCTAGTGCGCATTATGTAGGAGCGGGGGAGAGCTGAGAACATTTGAGGCGGTCATTCAAGGACCAGTTCTGGGGATTGATTAACATGATAGAAGGTAACATCTGAGTAGAGCTGAGTGGGACCCCAGAGACCGGGAGAGGCTCCTTGTTCACCGTGGGTCTTGGTGATTCCTGCTTCAGGAGGCAGAAGGAAGTCCCTGAACCGCCCACCCAGCTGACCATCCAGGGAGGGAAGAATGAGACAGGTATGGGTGTAAGAAAGGCTGAATCTTAATGGTAAATTCCAGGGTTTTAAGGAAAAGCGCAGAGTCCTAAGAATGCGACGTATGGTTCTTTTTTACGTGTCGCTGCTCACCTAGCCCAGATGAGTAAACAAGCGACAAGCCAGGGAGCAATAAACCTGGGACACATCTTCGCCACCATTTTCTCCATTCTCACAAAAGACTACCAGGACCACAATGCCACGGTGCGCCGAGCCAATGAGCCGCATCTCGCGGCGCAAACGCAGTGAGGCCCTACCCCCGGGGAGCCACTCGAGGCACCACCCACCCTGGAAGACTACAAGGCCCAGCAAGCAACTCGCGAGCCTCCGCCTTCGCCGCCGCGGACCCACCCAGTTCTGGGAAACCGGACCCAGCGGTGGGGCCGCTGCGGTCGGGCCGAGCCGAAGAGCTTTCGCAGGGCAAGATGGCCGCTCCGAGGGCCAAAGCGGAGGTGAGGGGGTGCTAGGGCCGTAGGGTCCTATCCAGCAAACTGGCTTTTCTCGTCGTGGCCATGGGGACCTCCCGATAGAGCCTTTGACCTGAGGCAACCCCAGCACTTCGTAGTTTTGACGTGGAACCTCCCGGAGGGCTGCAGAATAAGCGCCTCTGCGCTCTGACGGAGGCACGAGACCAGTCAAGCGGGCCCCTCTGTTGGGACAGCGCGACACTGAGCACTCCATGCCTGTGGGCGCGGGGAGGCGTGGCCTCCCCCAGGGCCGCCACCTCTACTGGTTGTTCTGCGCGTTCACCTTAAAGCTCTGGTAAGGAGGGGTAGAGGGCTGGGGGAAAGGACGGGACGGAAGATCGGGTAGTCCCTGCCCTCCGGGATGAGGGAGATCGTGCCCCTCGACCGCGAGGGTGGGCAGGTTCCATGTTTCCTGGCTTCTGACTTTTGTCCCTATTCCCTCCTTTCTACTGCAGCCAAGCAGAGACGCCGGTGCGGGAGGAGAAGCTGTCAGGTGGGTGATGGTCTTGGAACCCGCTGCCCTGTAGGTTTTGTTCTGACATCCACATACCAAGAGCACAGGTGGAAAAGGGTGGCGCTACGTAGAATGAGGGCATTCAGTTGTGCTGGGAAGTTGGATGGGCAGAACCTTCGGGAGACAGATTTCTGAATGAGGTTGGGGCTGCCATTTCTCTCTTTTAGTGAGCACCTCGAATTTGCCGTGCTGGCTGGTGGAAGAGTTTGTGGTGGCGGAGGAGTGTGCTCCATGTTCTAATTTCCAGGCTGTGAGTATCTGTTTTCTCCCCCATTTTTCTCACATCTACTCAGTCCCTGCCTCTTTTTATTTTTATTTTTTGACCAATATGAAAGTTTATTTAACAAAAGTTCAATATGAAAATATACACGACTTTTTATTGTAGAAAAACAGGTGCTGTGGAGAGAGGATACATGGAAGCGGCTGATTTCTCTGGTGAACACATTCTTCATACTCATCCCAAGGCTTCTAACATGATACTGTTTCCTCATATTACCACCATTCCAATAGTGTTCTCTTGCCCACTAGTTACCACCTCCACACAGTCTTCTATCACTAGATTCATAAAGGGATCAAATCCTCACACTATTCCTTGGATATGTCTGTCACAATTTAATTTTTTTAAATTTTTTAATTTTTATTTTTAAAATATATCTTTATTGATTTCAGAGAGAGGAAGGAAGGAGAGAGAGAGACGGAAACATCAGTGATGAGAGTGACGCCCCCAACTGGGGATGGAGCCTGCAACTTGGCATGTGCCCTGACCCCTGACCGGGAATCGAACCATGATCTCCTGGATCCTATGCTGACGCTCAACCGCTGAGCCACGCCCAGCCTGTTTAATTTTTTTTTTTAATCCTCACCCAAGGACATGCCTTTATTGACTTTAGAGAGAGAGAAAAGGAGAGAAGCATTGATGTGAGAGTGAAACATCGATAGGTTGCCTCCTGTACATGCCCCACTGGGCATCACGGGAATCTGGGTATGTGCCCTGACCGGGAATCAAACCTGCTATCTTCCGGTGTACGGGATGATTCTCCAACCAACTGAGCCACACTGGCCAGGCAGGCACCATTTAATTTCTTGTCCATTCGTTTTTTTAACTTGGAAGGTGAGCTTTGCTCATGGTATATACTCAGGGAGCTCAAAGATGTCTCCAAAAGAAACTTGTGGCATGTCTCACACTCCTGCCACAGTCCCTAAATCTTACTAAGTATGCCTTTGCATTGTCTTTTGCCTTTTTCCTCGTGTATGTCCAAATATGAACATGTCTTCCCCAGAAAATGTGCCCTTTTCTTTCCAAGTTAATGGCTACATTCAGGTAATAACCATGTCCTGTTCATTTTTAACCCACTGGCTCTGGAGCCTGTCCCCACCTCTCCTAGACTGTTGCCTTTGAAATATTCTAACACATATTCCTAATCATACAGCCAGCACCTCCACCGTCCCCATTAGAACTCATCATCTCTGTTGCCTCCCTGCTCTGAGCCGTAGCCCTGGGCACCTCCGCACTCTGAATGACAGCCTTCCTGCTTCTCTTCTTGCCCCCTTCCTAACATGCTTTGGCCCTTTTCTCCTGGCAGAAAACCACGCTTGAATGCGGTTCCACAGGGTATGTGGAGAAAATCACATGCAGCTTATCTAAGAGGAATGAGTTCAAAAGGCAAGTGCTGTTTCTGTTCTTGAAACCTAAATCACCTCCTTTGCTCCTATTATGACCCTTAGATAGATAGTCCCACCTCTTCCTCTTGGTTTGGAGGTAGAATGGAATATTGGAAAGAGGAAGGAATTTGGAACCAAATTATTTCAACCCAAGTCCCAATTCTACTTCTCAGTGCTACATTAATGGCATATTGTCTCATTAGTAAAATTGGTTAATACCTGCTCTGCTTATCTCACCAGAAAATAAGTTAAATGATATATTTGAGTGAGATTTATGCACTGTGAACACAGTAGACTGACTTTGGTTTTCTCTTTTCCCTTTGGATGTTTTGTCTTGGTTAGGCTGAAGTAGAAGGGAGATTAGAGGGAGAGGCCTTTCTTGGGAATAACTGTTTCTTCCTACCCTCAGCTGCCGCTCAGCTCTGATGGAACAGCACATATTCTGGAAATTTGAAGGGGCTGTCATGGGTGTGGCCTTGGTCTTCGCTTGCATTGTCATTGTTCGTCAGCGACAGCTGGACAGAAAGGCTCTGGAAAAGGTCCGGAAGCAAATTGAATCCATATAGCTACCTTCTACCCTTTTATTTGGGTCTTAAAGACAGAGAAAGTGGAATGGACTGACTTGTGCCCAGTATTTTGGGGAGTGGGAGGAACAAAAAAAAACCTTTCTTCCATCTTCCTCTAGATCATTAATAAGCAGAATAAAAAGAGTAAAATAGTTTCCTTTTCTATTGTGATTTGGTTTGGAGCAGGAAGTCATGAGGGAAAGGGGGTAGCAGCTTTAGGCCCCAGTTTATCTAAAGTACCTATCTTCCCCCTCTTCTACTACTTATTTAAAACTCTGAGAGAAAATTTCCCCCAAAAAAGTTTATTTCTTAGCAAAAACTTCTGTTTCCCCTCAATCCTATCTTCAAAGAAGAAATAAAATCACAGATACATAACAAAAGTATTTGAGGTGCCACCTCACATAGGCAAACTGGGTCTCAGGATACAGACATTTAGGGCATCCTGATGTGATTCAGACCCCTGAAGCCAAAGAACCCTGAGTTGGGGATCCCAGGGGAGAGCAGAGCCATAGGAGAGCCCTGGGTTCCTTATGTAATTGAGTAGTGGGCTAGGAAGTGTTCCAGCTCACATCTCATCTGCATGCAGCACAGTTCTGACGTGCCCACTGGGGCCTGTCTTCCCTCGCATCTTCTCAAGCAGTGTCCTTGAGCCATTTGCACTCTTGACCCCAGGTGGCCCCCCCGATCTGGACTCTATCTCTGGGGACTCCTGATTTTTTGTTACGTCCTTGTGAGTCAGGATATTTCTGGAAATCACTGTGGGATGAAGGAAAAAGGGCAGTAGTAGAGTGCTCCCTTGGGTGGGAAGTCCTAGAACACTCCCACTTGCTCACCAGGTAAAAAGAGTCCTTCCCTACCCTTGCCTCTCACCTCCATGAGGCTGGTAATCCTCAGAACCAGCTTCTGGTAGACCTTGAAAGGGGCTGAAACTGGGCAGGATGATGAGAGCCAGGGAAAAAAGAAGGATCTGGGAGAAAGCAAGAAGACACTTGGGCTGTGGGGACAATAAAGGAAGGGAGTATAGGGCAGTTGGAATCATCAGGGATGGGAAGACTTGTATGGCTTGGTAGTAGGAGTATCAGGGTAAAAGTGGGGGAGATGGACAGTAGACTAGTGGTACCAAAACACAAGTGCTGGTCTGGGCAGCTTTGTTGGAAGTTTGAGTAATGAGCATCTGCAGCTGGCGGAGTTGAGTCACCAGGGAGCTGGGAAAGGAGGAAAGATGAGGTAGAGCTGGGAACCAGGGTCCAAGAATGATGCCTCTGTGTGTTGCATTCTTCCCCCAATGTACACACTATACTTTCACTCACATGTTGTGCCTCTCCAGCTCCTGGATTTTTTTCTGTAGTTCCTGGTTCTGTGCAGCAAAGGCAGCCACCCTAAGGAGTGTGGAGAAGTAGGACAAGGTTTGTCCATTATATGAGTCCCTGATCTTGCCTGCCTTGGTAAGGAAGGGGGCCCAGTCCTAGCCTACAGGAAGCCAGGAATGTGAGTTCAAACGTACTTGCTCTCCAGTCCCTCGATGTACTCTTTCTTCCGCCGACGACTGTCCTGAGCTGACTGCTTGTTACGGATTTTCCTCCTGACCTTCTTGAGGACCCTCTCCTCTGTCTGGGGCCCCAAGGTGTATCAGTCCTGGGCCCTTACCTTCCCCCAACTCCCCAACTCTCCCCCGTGATCTTGGCTCTTCAGAGGCATGGTGGGCTCACTGGGTTGGGATACCCTTTGGGGAAGCATGTTACCTTGGTGAGAGGCAGGTGGGAGGGCAGGGAAATGCCTTCCTGCCCCAGCAGATGCTTTTCCTCATCTGTCAGGAACAAGGTTTGACAGGGTAGCTGGTGGGGACAGGAGAAGATGAGTAGGGAGAGCGTGATCCCATTTCTAGCACCCATGCTGCTCTCCCACATGACTTCTAGAGAGTGTTTCCCATTTGCACTGAGGAATAACTAACCATGAAATGAAGTGAGGGCAGGGACCTTAATTCAGACAGGCTCTGGATCATACCCAAAGGGACCTCCTGAGGCTGAAACGGGAGAGAAGAGGTGGCTTTGTCATATCCTTTGACCACAGACTCTGGTCCACATCTCCCGAAACCTTAGGGGTATTTGAAGAGAATGTGGAGTAACTCACTACGGTAGGGTTTGCTCAACCTTCCAGCAGGCAAATGATTCACTTTTAGCTATTAACTTCCCATTTGGTAGAGTGTGTTATCTAGTCTCCTGTCAATCATAGTGAGCTCCCTGGGGCAGTGGCCCATTCTCTCCTAGGGTATGATCCCCACTTTTTAGACTAAAACTATGTCCCCTATCAGACAAAGAACTCCCTAAGGGCAACCAGACTGAACAACTTCTCTTAACAAAGTACATGGAGAGGGGAAGCATTTTCTCATTCTGTTGATATCTTGCTTCCACACATCTCCTATTTGGCTCAAATAAATTACTATAAAAATTCTCCAAAAAAAAAGTATGGGGGGAGGGTAGGTAGTGTCTGGTTAATGTGAGCCCATCAACAGAGAGACTTGCCTTTCTAATTCCTTTTTGAAAGATTTATGCTCCACTTTGTGACTTAGGAAGTTGCTTTTGTTTTTGCCTCCTGGTAGTCTTTGGCTTTTAGCTAAACCATTTCTTCTGTCTCTGCCTTTTTCTAATGCTCCCTTCTTATGCTTGTTACTATTTGGTGGAACTATATTAGAGGGATGTCCCTCCCAATCCACCTAATCAAAATCTGTAAGAATGAGACCTAGAAGGTTCTATTTAAAAAACAAAACCACAAATTCTCCAGTGTTTTGATGCATAGTCCAATTTAGAAGTATCGAACTTTTTAAGGTCCCTCAACCCAAGATTTTAAGATGCTTGACTTGGCAATTGGTTCAGGTTCAACCACAGATTTGCAGGGAGGCTAGAAACTGTTCCCTGCCTTTTGTACACAACAAGTTCTTTCCAGGATAAAGGCAGGGCCCTCTCCTCACCCCCTTGGAGGGACCAGACCAGATAACCTTGGGAAGTTATCTGATGTG